AGAACGCTGGGAAATAGTAGAAAAGAGATCACTGTCCCACTCACCAGTGCTGCCTCCTGGTGATCAGGGAATAACTTGGGTTAGGAGGGACCTTTTAAGCTCATCTAATTCGACCCAAGTCCAGCTTGTTCGCTTAGTCCAGCCCACCTAGTCCTGGATGCATTTGTGGAATCCTATGGATTGAAAAACTCCTCTCCATTTTTAAGGTGTGAAATGTCACTTTATAAGGCTGGAATGTCCCCACTGTCAGTTAATCCATGTTGGAGCAGACCTGCTAATGCAGGGCCTAATCTGCTGGTGACAGCCTGTGATTTATATTCCCAGGAGACCCCGGCCTTGCTAATTGAAATGGATTTGAACTCGTGTTCGCTGTGCTAGGCTGGACTTGGAGACTTACTGAGAAAGACAGATAGAACCAGCTCCACTGGGTCAGTGGAATTTAAAAACTAATATTACAAAAGTGGTCATTCCTGTCTGTATTCAGTACGTGTCTTTAAACATCAACTTTTTGAACAGATAATGTATTTTCTCTATAAATCCTGATCTAGTCCATGAATGAGTGTCCCATGGGTGGCTCACCTGCCTCTAGCACATCAAAAATCATCATTTCTTGTCTGTCTGCTGCCAATTTTTGTCACCCACATCCTCTGTTGCCACATCTGCTGGCCTCCCTTTACATGACAATCAAAGCAAATATATTAATTTGTCCACCTGAATTAAACACAAAGTGACTAAGCAAGAAAGACAGTCTATCAAGCTTGATTATTCCAAATGGAAATTAATTTTATTCGGTTAATTGGTGCTTTGCCTCGCTCAGTCTCTTACGTGTAAGTGATTATTCTGATTTGTAATTTTTAATCTAATTATTTCCCTCTCCTTTAGATGATCTTTACTGAGAGTGATCATATAGAATACTTGAGGAATTTTTACTCTCAGATATAATGTTGTGAGCAGTTGTATTAAATTTTAAATGATTTTGAAATTAGATATTTATCCCTTACATTCTGTCTTTATTCCTGAAGTGGTCAGAAACAAAGCTTTTCTTGCTGTACAATATAAGTACAATATAATGGGCACAATAAACCCAACAATGAGTGTGCTGTAGACAGTGCCATTAAAAAATTATGGGGTTTTATGGTGAAATTTAACTATTCATGGCAGAATGTTTTCTAACTTGTTGTGTGGCTGAATTTTAGGGAGTGTTTCCCAAGCAGAAAGGTGCCTATCTGATGTTTTGCTGGGCTGCACTGAACACGTGTGCAAACATCTCCACAAATATCTCAAGTCCATTTTCTTTTTTTCCTCTGAATTTCGGGACTTCTGGATTCTCTGAGGCAGAATTACAGGGAATTAAAAATAAGAATATGAAAACTCAATGTATTGATTTTTTTAAAATTTTTTTTTTTATTTAAAGCAGATCAAAACATGGGACTTGAACAAAGTTCTGGACATTTGCTTTGTGGCTTAATGTATAACTCCAAGTAGAAAATCATTGTGGAGTGGTTACCCCTAACAGGAGGAATACTAAGAAGCTGATCCCAGGTGGTGTCCTTAGAGTGGTGGTGTGATGGATGGGATACGCTCCCTGTGGAGCTGGACCCAGGAGCCCGAGGTCCTGCTGCTCCACAGACTTCACAAGACTGCCCAAGGTGGGAATGGTGGTGGAGGGCCTGGCTTTTGGCAGAGGGGTCTGTGGGACTCAGAACCTCCCCGTGATGACCTTGGAAACCCATGTAATGAAGTGTCCAAGGCCAGGTTGGACGGACTGTGGAGCAACCCGGGATAGTGGAAGGTGTCCCTGCCCATGGCAGGGGGTGGGACGAGATGAACTTTAAGGTCCCTTCCAACCCAGACCATTCCATCTTCATGCAAGTTCCTGCTTCCCCCCTGCTGGTTTCAAAAAGGAAGGAGCACTTCTTTTTCTAGCTATTTTGTAAACTCGTAATTCAGCTGAACAGTTTGCCTTGAAATAGTGAAGTAATGATTGCTCACCCTGATGACATAATGGTGCAATAAAGTTCTAACAAAAAATGAGGTCATGAGGGAGCTATTCCAGTTAAACTGTAACTTGGCACTGCCTGGCGTGCTGGGATGGGTTACAGAGTCTCAGTCCATGACTTTCCTGAGGTCAGAGCTTGAGGAAAGAGAAAATAGCTGCAGTCAGCCCAGCTGGAGGTAAGAGCTGCTCCTGGTGCCAGGGATTCCTGGCCAGGGAAGCTGCTGCTGTACTGGTTCACTTGCTCCAGGTAGGGAATCCCCCAGGCTGGTGGAGAAAAGACTGGGGATTAGGACTTGTAGAATGACAGAATGCTTTGGGTTGGAAGTGACCTTGAAGATCATCTGATTCCACCCCCTGCTACGGGCAGGGACGCCTTCCACTATTCCAGGTTGCTCCAAGCCCTGTCCAACCTGACCTTGAACAATTCCAGGGATGGGGCAACCACAGTGTCTCTGGGCAACCATGTTCTTTAGAGGGACCAACAGTGCTTGGGTTTTTATAGGTGAAAAGCAGGAAGAGTAAAAGAAGAGCATTCCTTTTTTTTGTTTGTTTTTTAATTTTTTACTCAACTCAATTTTTTGGGTTTGCTTGCTCTTGCTGTGGCCAACAAACTAAGTGCCAAATGCACTGGTCAACAGACAGTGCCAATGCTTTCATGTCTCTCATTTTTAATCCTCTTTTCTGAGTTGATGGTGCTTATCCTTGAGAATATTACTTTTATAGCACTAAAAATCTGGGCCATGACCTGAGCTACACGATTCTAAAGCCTGGGGGGGGAAAAAACAAATCCCAGCAGTCTCTCCACCCTCCCCTGTGTGAGCTGGGCTGTGTCACTGTTTTATTCCTGCTTTAGGAGGATGCAGGGGATGGGTATCAATTTAACCTGCTCTGAAGCACCTTGTGCATCAGATTCCTTGGAAAAGTCTCACAGCTGTAGCAGAGCCACGTGCCATGACCAAGGTTTTATTGGCCTATTTTCTTAAAGCCCAGGTTTTACTTCTGAGCTGTCAGGTCAGATGAGGATTCAGTTCTGGGGCCAAAATAGAAATTAGCCATGTGTGGTAATCCATTAATCCCTGAAAATAATGCTGTTTGTTCACGTTTTGGGGAGCTGGGCTGTCCCCTGTGACACCTCTGTGGGCTGTGTGAGGAGTAGTGGCAGCAATCCTGGAGCTGGGAAGGGCCGTACGGAGGTGTCACACACTCCCCAAATTTCTGAGCTGATCCCTATGGAATTGCATTTAAATTCCAGGTGCTTGCCCTCCTGGGACAGAGACCTTGTGGCTGTCCCATCCCTGGAATTTTTTGAAGGCAGGTTGGGTGGCACTTGGTACAGTCTGATCTAGTGGGAGGTGTCCCTGCCCATGGAGGGGGTTGGAAATGGATGAACTTTAAGGTCTCTTCCAACTCAGACCATTATAGGATTCTGTGATTCTCAGCAGAATTTGAGTTACCTGTACAATTTTACACTGATTTTTTTTTTTTTTCGATTTTTTTTGGTATCAAGTTCTCTGCTGGACACAGAAGTGTTTAGATGTAACAATGCAGCCTTTTAAATCTTTGTTTGCAACAGGAATCTCTGGCACCTCTTCAAGGCTCCAGACAATGAGTAATGGCTAAATAATAGTGGTAGGAATAATAAAATACATGGAATAGTAATAGGCTGCCAATAGTTTATTAATAAATTACAATAGTTTATAAATTACAATAGTTTATTAATAAATTACAAAATTACTACTAATAAATTACAAAAACTATTAGCCCATGGAGTGGACTTCAGATCTGAAGTGCCTGAGCCATTTAGAATAGAATTACGGAATCACTGAGGTTGGAAAAGGCCTCTGAGATCATCAAGTCCACCCTGTGCCTGATCCCCACCTTGTCCCCCAGCCCAGAGCACTGAGTGCCACATCCAGTTGTTCCTTGGACATCTCTAGGGATGGGGACTCCACCACCTCCCTGGGCAGCCCCTTCCAATGCCTGACCACCTTTTCCATGAAGAAATTCCTCCTGATGTCCAACCTGAACCTTCCCTGGTGCAGCTTGAGGCTGTTTCCTCTTGTCCTGTCCCTGGTTTTCTGTCAGAAGAGCCCAACCCACACCTATCCAGGGAAAAAAAGGCTGGAGGCAGTGGGATGTAAGCAGATACATGCCCTGTATCCCCATGTGGATATGAAAGCAGTTCCTATTTCTTTTACAGGAGGGGCAGCAGTTGCCTCCCAGCAGAGCTGTGTAATAATGACAGTGTGCCTCTACCTGGATCTTTTGCTTCCCACTTTTATCAACAAGAGGCTTCTTTCATAGCACATGGTTGTCCTTTCTTGTTCAGCTGTGCTTTTCTACCCACCTGTTCTCTCTGGAGAGTTGTTACTATTTTTTGCTCCTTGTTTTAACAGGCTGTATCATGACACTGTACCTTTGTGAGGATGGAAAATGCTGCTGTGTCTGTAGCTCTGGGGTTTTTTAATTCAAGAAATTATGTTGTCGCAGTTGTGTGTGTGGTGGACATAAATATAAATATACAGTGTCGCTCAGGGTGTTTTTATGTGATTGGATTTTGCTCCCCTCCCCATCCACCCCAGTCTGGAGAGAAGTAGTTCCAATTTCTCTGAGGGAACAAGAGACAAGATGAGAGCAAACGGCCTCAAGCAAAACCAGGAGAGGTTTAGGTTGTAAATGATGAAAATTTTCTTCATGGAAGGGGTTGTCAAGCACTGGAGGAGGTTGCCCAGGGAGGTAGTGGAGTCCCCATCCCTGGAGGGATTTAAAAGCCGTGTAGATGTGGCACTTGAGGACATGGGTTAGTGGTGGCCTTGGCAGGGCTGGGGGAGCGGTTGGACTTGATGGGCTCAGAGGGCTTTTCCAGCCTTAACCATTCCATGATTCTGTGAAGTTTTAGGGTCTTAAAGGTCTTTTTCAACTTGAGTGATTCCACAATTCCACGCTGGGTCTGTTCAGCATTTGGTCATGCTGAGCTCAGTCCTTTGCATCCCCCTCTGTGCTGCAGCTCCTGAATCTCCTGTAAGTTTTAATCTTCCTTTCTTCGGCAGTGGAAATGCAAAGTGCTTTGGCCAAAGAGTGAGATCTCACACTTGGCATAATCTTTGTCGACGTGTTTATTTCTAATAAATTGTAGGGCTTCAAAGTGTGCTCCAGTTCCACTTTAGCACATCCAAGAGAACAGAATCAGGGTGTCTGGCATGGAATTGGCATCTGTAAAACCCTCCTAACAGTGATTTTTGTGGGAAGTGTTGATGGTCCTTCCACCTTCCGGTCTCTTGGAATCCTGCCAGCAACTTCAATTATTTTGTGGTGATTTTTTTTTCTTTTTTTTTTTTTTTAAAGGAGCTGTATGTATTTTAAGGATGAGCCAGTGAACTAAACGCTGCCTGGCAAAATCAGGCAGCACAGCCCCTGCCAGAATTGATTACTCGAATTTCCAGTAGATTTCAGCAGCCTTTGCTGAGGATGTGAAGCATCCCAGGATTCGGCACCTCTTCCCTGGCAACACCAGCCCTTTCCCTACTGATTCTGCTTTTATTCCAGCTTTATTCCAGATTTCCAAATCCTTCTTATTCCTTTCTTTCTCTTCAGTACAGATTAATTGCTGCTGCATGCCCTGAGCTTCCAGCATTCTATTGCTTTATGATTATAAATAGAAGTGTAGATTCTTGAGGTTTGTATATAATGCTAAATACGACGTAGGTGCGCTTTGCACTCAGGTGTTAAACATAACTATCTAATCCAAGAATGGGATTAGCTAGTAAGACATTTAGACTGCTTAAATTATAAATAGTAGCAGAAGGAATTGTGAGTAAATTGGTCAGCAGGAAGCTGAACTGGAGAAAAAAATACGTTTAAGAAAATAAATTTTAATGCTAACTATGCTCTTTATTATTTTTTTTTTCACTTATTATGTTAAAGAAAAAAATTCATTGAGCTTCCAAACTGTGTATCTAAAAAATACCCTGTGTGTGCTGAGTTGAAATTTACTCCTGGGTGTAGGACTGGGTATAGGAGAAACTTGGAATAAGGTTCACTAAGTACCAAATGTGCACGTGGCAAAAAGGTGGTGTGGGATTTGTTGTTACAGAAGATTTTTATACATATCATCTTATTCAGAGATTATTTCAGGTGGATTATCCCACTTTACATGGAAAGGAAGGGTTTTCTAATGGTTATTCTAAAAACTGCCAAGTTCCTGGATTTTTTTAATCTGTTGTTAGGCAGGACTGTGGAATACCCTGTGGAAATTGTAATATTAAATGTGTTTTAATGTATCAGGGAGGTTTGTTCAGTATTTGGATGGTTGTAATTTCATCTGTGAGTGCAGAGCCACCATCTGGATGTGTCCTGCCATTTACAAAACACAGAAAGTAACAGTTGTGTGAAAATATTTTTAAATCAAGCACAACTGGTTAATGGCTGAGATAGCAGCCCCTTATAATTAATATGTTCATTAGGGACTGGATAAATACACAGCAGATTAATAACAACAGTTCTTTTCCACCTCGACTTTGAGGGATTAGAGTATTTCTGGACCAGCTGATTTATCTACATCTATTAATTTCCCCCAAATCTTCAGAGCGGCAGCAGGTTCTCATCACACTTTCCCTTTAAACTTTTCCACGCTGGAAATGATTTTCTGGCCTCAGAAACCCTGAAATTCTCTATTTGGAAAACTTTGGTGAAACGCTTTATAGGAATCAAGCGGCATAAGGAAACTTTGAAAAGTGTGTGTTAAAGGGACTTTAAACTTCATGGGGTTACTGGTCTGCTTGGTGGTTAAAACTTCTCCTCTTTGTTTGGATCTCAGGGCATCTGTGGTGCCCAAATTCCACTGGAGTGACACGGTCAAGCAACGACTGGATGTGGCCCTCAGTGCTCTGGTCTGGTTGACAAGGTGGTGATGGGTCACAGGTTGGACTTGATGATCTTGGGGGTGTTTTCCAACCTGAACAATGCCCTGATTCTGCATTGCCTTGTGGAGGAACGTCCTGTGGATCCTTCAAAGATGTTCTGGCCCCGCTGGGATTTTGGGCCCACGCTGCTCATGCTCTTTGCACAAGGTCTAATACTTGCAGTTAAGGCAAGAAATCACCAAAAATAGGCGAATTTTGCATTTATTCTCAAGATTTGTGTTTCTTCTCAAGATTCCATCTGCTGGTACTTAGGAATTATCTCTGGGAATATGCTCTAGACTCCTTGACTCAGTGTCCTCAGCTGCCCTGTTTTATGGGTGGAGCTTCTCTGCCCTGATTTTTATCATCTTTGAATTAGCTGAGTGTTACCCTCCTCTTCTTGGATTTAAAACATCCTTAATGATTTTTTTTTCATGTGCACAACTGGTATATCCCTTTTCTTTCTGCATCCATACTGGACGTTCACTGATAAGGCAATGGGAGAGTGTTAAACAAGATTTAAGTAAATTTAAACTTACATTAAATATCACTTTTTTTTTTCTTTTCGCTTTGTTCTGACACGAGTTAAAAATAGCTAATAATAATAATAATTTCACCTGAAAATTTACCTTTTGCTTTGTTTGGTTTTTTTTTTTAGGTCCAGGATGGAACATTCCTGCTCGCTCCTGCTGCTCTGTGCTAGTTTTCTGTTTGCACGAGCTCTGCCACCCAATGGAACTGAATTTCCAAAAACGACCACAACAACCAGTAAGGACATCACTTACTTGTGGGGATAGGAGTGGGTGTGGAAAAGGGACTTCTGGTGACATATTCCTGGATAGTTTTCCAGGACTTTGACCCCGCTAACGTGTTCCTGATCATGGCAGGTGACGTCTGTGTTTGGTCTCCCTATGACTGGTGCTGATGTTTTACTTTCTCTTTCCCATTTACGGGAAAAACAGGGGGAGAGATCTGGGAGAGGTGGGGAAGCCCAGGGTGTCTCCTCCTGGCTCGGTTCCAAGCTCTCCACACCCCAGGAGCTGTCACTGTGCATCTCCCAACGTGGTGGGATGGGGACACAGATAATATGAGATAAATTATCAAACAGACAACAGGATGAGCATATTTAAACATAATGAGGAAATACGACCTTTGTATGAGTTCTGCGTTTTCTGATGATACAAACTGCCTAAGGCAAGGCTTGAGGAGGAGGGTAAAGTGCAGGTGTCTGGGTAAGATTACCTGGGTAAGATTCACCTGGGTCAGGTGAAAAATAGAGTGTTTTTCCGAGACCTGAGAACAATCTTTTACTCGCTGGTCCCTCACAGCATCTTTAATTCATCCTCATTTCTGTTTTCAGAATTTCTTCCTCTTGCTTCAAGCCCTCCTGCACCCACATCCTAACACGTAACAGTCCTGGGGAGGGGCTTGTTGAGGGGAAATAAAGGTTTTCTGGGGAAGCATGAGGCAAGTTTTTTAGGTTTCCTGAGGCAGTTTGGATGGGCTTGGGCAACCTGGTCTGGTGGAATGGTTCCCAGCCCATGGCCAGGGGTGGAACAAGATGGGCTTTAAGGTACCTTCCAACCCAAACCATTCTGTGATTTTGTGAAGATGATTCTGTTCTGTTCTTTGATGGGATGACATATTTCACTTGCACCTCATCCTTATCCTTCATAATCCTGGCTCCCTGCCTTGGAAATCCCTGTTCTGAGGAGTGGTGTTGGTCAGGCAGTGACAGTGTGTGACACTGAGCTCCCATCAGAGAGGGATTTCTGGAGGCAGAGCTGCTCCGTGCTGTTGGTTGAAGGGAGATAAAGCTGCTGATGTTCCATATAAACAGTGTGGTGAAACCTTGATAAGTTTCCAGGTGATGGTTGTTGACACCCAGTGTTTTATTGAAGGGTGTTCATGTGGTTTATTTGCTTTTAATCTGCCTGTGAACTTTACACCCAAGTGGAAGGAGAGCCAAGCAAGAATTAAGTGCCAGTCCTGGCTGATGGCCCTTTGAGTGTTTTGGTCCTTAGTTGTAATAATTTAAATGGAAACAGGGGAGATTTAGATCAGATATCAGACTGAAATTCTCCCCTGTGAAGGTGATGAGGCCCTGGCACAGGTTGCCCAGAAAAGCTGTGGCTGCCCCAGCCTTGAAAGGGCTCAAGGCCGGGTTAAATGAGGGGCAAAATCTTAGTGTTGTTTTGCTCAGTGGTCTCAAAACAAACAAATTAGTGCTATAAATAAAGATTTAGCTAAGTGTAAATATGCTAATTAATTGGTCTGCTGAAGTGTTGTCAAGTAGCTGTCGGCCCCTGCTTCTCGTCTGGCACCTGGGGCAGCAGAAAAACAAATTACTAATATTGGTCTGAATATGTAAGAATATGGGAATTGAGAAGGGGAAGTAACTTGTAAGTGGTGTGACTTCCCAGAATTTTAATACCATGAGCACAAAGGGAGTTTTGCCATCGATGTTGTTCATCTTCAGAGCTTAATTCGAAATTGTGTTGAATTTAAGTGTGATAATATGGATAAGAGTAATCTAATCATCCATATTTTAATTAAATCTTAATTTCAGTGATATGATTTGGAAGTGATTAGTATGACTAAACTGTTTTTCCTAAATATCAAAGCCTTCCTTGCTTTGCAGTGAGGAACAAGGAAGGGTTTTGTCTGACAGACAAGTACACCCTGAAAAGACATTGCTGCAGAAAAAGTTCCAAGATAATAGGATTATCTAACACATTTGATAGCCATTGAACTAATATGGTATTTTTTAATACAAAAATAAAGATTTTTGATTGAAGCATAAAGAAAACTCCATTTAAAAGACCCTGGAAAGAACTAAAGGTTCCTAAAAAAAGTCCAGCTCTCCTTTTGCATGGTAATTTGATGAGTGATCCCCAAAGATAAGATGCTTTTGATTCTGAAAGGAATAGTTATAATTCACTGTATGTCATTATTTTAGCTGACTTGATTTTTTAAAACATTTGCTGAATTAAAATGCCAGCGTTATTCTTATTTTAAACATGGTTGCCCAGTCTGGATGGTTCCATTTTTAGCACTGCTGCCATTTTGCTTCCTACAAGAGTACCATGAAATTGCCACCATGAAATTTCCCTTTCATAAAATGAGAATATTCTGGGGTTTATTGCCCTACAATTTAGTGGAGAAATTGCCCTGTCATTTACTCAAATTATTCAACTGTATTAAAAAAATATAAAGCAAAGAATCCCAGAATGGTTTGGGTTGAAAGGGACATTAAGGATCATCTTGTTCCGACTTCCAAGCCAGTGTTTGTTTATTTGAATTTGTACAAATAAATATAAGTATATATTTCAAGTAGATACAACTTCATGCTCTCAAATACGTGTTACAGACTGTTTATACCTGCCACTGTCTATAGCATTCACACAACTCCTGGTAACTCAAATATTAATTAGTTCTCCAATATTAATCATAGTCAGGATTGTTTTACCTCCTCTTGTATTTTTACTTATGAAGTAGTTTAAATGTGGAAGCAGCCTGGGAATTGCAGTTGCAAAGCTTTTAAAACCTTTCCAAATGTTTAAATTCATTTAATATTTACTCAGTGAGTGTTTCATGGGGTTTGTGCCCATCTTTACAATTCCTTTCCCGAACCAATGTATGAACATGCAGAGGGAATGAATTTATCAAGTGAGTTGGAGTTCGAAGGGCAGCAAATGAGGCAGCTTTAAGTGCCCTGTTTAATGCTGGTTTAGACTCTCAGGAACTCAATGGGTGTCTTTGAAGATGGGTTTATTTACCCCTCTGCTCTGCTCTGATGAGACCCCACCTGCAGAGCTGCCTCCGACTCTGGGGCCCAGCACAGGAAGGACCTGGAGCTGCTGGAGCGAGTCCAGAGGAGGCAGCAGGATGATCACAGGGCTGGAGCAGCTCTGCTGGGAGGAAAGGCTGAGAGAGTTGGGATTGTTCAGCCTGGAGAAGAGAAGCTTTGGGGTGACTTGATTGTGGCCTTGCAGGACATAAAGGGGCTGCAGGAGAGCTGGAGAGGGACTTTGGACAAGGGCCTGGAGTGACTGGACAAGGGGGAATGGTTTTAAATTTCCAGAGGTCAGGATTAGATGGGATATTGGGAAGAAATCCTTCCCTGTGAGGTTGGGGAGGCCCTGGCACAGGTTTGCCCAGGGAAGCTGTGGCTGCCCCATCCCTGGAAGTGTCCAAGGCCAGGTTGGACGGGGCTTGGAGCAACCTGGGCTAGTGGAAGATGTCCCTGCCCATGGCAGGGGTTGGAATGAGATGGGCTTTGAGTCCCTTCCAACCCAAACCATTCTAGGATGCTGTGACAGCCAGAATAGGACTCAGAAGTGGCACTTCCATGCTGGACTTGTGGTGCTTGTTTCATGTCAAAAGTGAAGCAGCATCAGAAAATGAAGTTTTGAAGGAGTCTGGCTCATTTCCTTGCTATTTAAATGCCAAAGGGGTGCTTTACTGGTAGATACTCAATTTCAGGATTTAGTTTGAAAAGCAGAACTTCAAAAATAGGTGGTTTTGGATTGAGGTTTGGACTAGATGACTTTTAAATGTCCCTTACATCCCAGACTGTTCAGTGATTCTGTGACTGCAGTGGCAGGTGGGCTGTGCTCGCTTTGGCTGAGTGTGATTCAGCTCTGAGGTGTTAAACAGAGGCACCATTACTGCATTTACTGCTGCTTGCCTTCTGTGTTCTGCATGCTCTGGGCACTGGTTTTCTTTCCCTACATAACTTTTTCCTTCACCCTTCCTTTATTTAATTTTTTTTTTTTTTT